GCGTGAGCCGCTCCGCCTGCGCAGCGGAGGCTCCTCCCCACCGCTACAGAATGGGGCGTGGCTAGAGGAAGGGGGCGTGGTCGTGGCGGAGGAGGCGGGGCCAAGTGCCGACGGGCCAATGGGAAGAGAAGAGGGGCGGGGACAGATGCGGTAGTGGGGCGGGGCGCGGCCGAGGCATGTGGCGGGGCGCAGCGGCTCGGGGTCGCGGTCCTTTCCCCGGGGCAGTGCTAGCGCCGGCTATGCGGCCGTCTTCGTCGGGGTGAGTGTCTCTTCCGGTCCGATGCCGGGCTCCTAGGCCTGAGGGAGCGAACCGCGGGCGGCCGTGGGACCGCTGGGGAGGGCCGGTGTCGGGTGCTCGTCCTGCGGGGCTGGAGGTGACGCGACGTGCGTGGGGAGCGGGGAGCTACTGGGGTGGTCGGGGGAGATGCGGCCCCGCGTGTGTGGAGGGCTGGGAACGACCGACACCGGCCTCAGCCCTCGGGTAGAGGGCAGCTGCCGGGTCGGGGCGCCGGGACATCGCGCTCAGACCTAACTGTGTTCCGGGGGAGCTCGGGAGCGGCGGTGCTTTCTTGGTAACCTCTCTTTGTCCCGTGTGACTCCTAAGCCTACCCAGCGTTTCCTCTGGTTGTCCCGTAGACCATCCCCCTTGAGGTGGCAGTGATGCTTGCAAGAGGTTGAAGAGATGTGCCCAGGCACCTCCTGTCTGAATAAATAATGCAGGCTGTGTGGAACTGAGATCACCTTTGTAAGCACGTTCCACTTTGGCGTCCTAATAGAGTCTCTTATCTCTTCATACCTTAGAGGAAGGTTCTCAGCAGGCTTAGCTGTCCCCTGGGCATTGCCGTGATGCAGGAAGGAGGCTCTGAGTTCCCAGTGCAGCATCCTGGGGGCTGGGGTCAGGGCATCCCCCAGCACCTCTCCTCAGTCTCCCAAACTTTGTCTTGTAGGAAGACAAATCCTGTCTCAGTGTCCTTTTGCACAGGGTGGGTAGATGCCTGTGCATTGGCTGACTCACCCCCTTGGTCATGCAGCAGCACTCTTTCCCAGCTAGCTGAGTTACTTGGCTGCTTATCGAAGGCACACCATGGAAGCATCGACCCTCCCTGCCTGAGCTAACCTGCAGCCTTGTTGAGCTGGGTGAACTCCCTGATAGGGAGCACCATGCGCCCTTTAAATCTCAGAGGCTTGTGGCTGGTTGACAGTGAGTCTATGAGGTCTGTGTTGATGTGGTGTCTCTCTCAAGACAGTGTGCACTTCCCTGTTAATTCCATTCATTCACCATAATCATCAGCTATAGGTATGTTAGTGCAGTCCATTACATAGTAATGGGAGGTTTACAAGGGATCTTTCCATTTTTATTAGCTTTCATGTCTAAAGTAGATCAGTGCACTTGCTGTGTGCATATCCTGCTTGGTTATTGTTGAAATGCATCATACACATTTATAGGCACACATCCTTTTTGTATTTTCATGGGGAAAAAGTTTGGACTACGTGTCCCTTAACTTGTAGGTGCAGGCATCTTTGTTTTTTTGTTCTAGTTGTAAATTCCCTGCTGGATTTGTGAAATCATCTGCCAAAAAGCAGACTTTGCATCTGGTTATCTGCTAATGAAATTCTAATTGGAACCTCTGTGCAACCCGCAGCCTCAGCCTTCCAAATGAAGTCTCCTGGCGCAGACTTTTCAAAGGTGATAAAAGTAAATTTGCAACTGAAATTTCAAGCTTCAGTGATGAAAACTGTCCATGCTGAAGGCCTGATAATGTATTTTAAAATCTCTTGCTGGGCAGCCTGGATTATAAGGCAAGTGCCCTTTTAAATGTAATAGCTGTCTTCTTCAGCAGTGGGTGACAAAGTTTTTAAAGGAAAATGTTGCAGGGATGTTAGAGAATGGAGATATTTGGTTTAGGTGGTGTGTGCAGGGAATGTCCAAAACTTTGCCTGATGAAACTCTGAAGAATGGATTGGTTTGGGGGTAGGTTTTTGCCTCCCTTGGTCCCTGGATGGCCCTTAGGAAACATTTTTTTTTTTTTTTTAGTACACAGTCCTGCTGACATCTTCCTGAGCTCTGGTGTGTAGCATTAAGCAAACACATGTCCTGTGTACTGTCATTCACACTTGAACCAGTTTCATAAATGGAAAGCGCTATAAAGCAAGCCCAACAAGAGTTCACGCCAGTGTGTTTAAAGTAAGAAATGAGCATGGAAGTAGGAGGAATGAACCTGAAGCTGTGTGTTCATACACCAGAGAAGCAGGTGTGTGGCAGAGGCTGCTTCATCCTGGTTGATGTGCACATTGTGGGCTTGGAGCAGTGCTGTGCTTGGTGTTAAAGTATTTGGTGTTCCCTTTACAGGTGTGCTGCAGCCCTTCTGCTCTGACCTGTTACTGGGTTGGAAATCTGCTGTCATGGCCGTGTTCAGCCAATGCGCTGTTTTAGTTCATCCTTCCCCTTGAGCTGTTACTTGAGGTTTGGTACAAACTCCTAACATTAAGAGCAATTATGCAATGGGAAAGCTGAAGAACCCACTGCTTCCTCCTTCAGCGCTTCTGTGCAGATCCTCAACTGCAGCAAGTTGCTACAGCTGCTGTGCAGAACCATGGCAGCCCATGCCAGCTGACTGCCCGCCCTTTGAAAGGCTTCCATCAATGCCAGGTGGCTTTTTGAAGGGGATCTTCATCCCATTAACAGATATACCTGGCACAAAGTTTATTTCTTTGGCAGGTGAGAGAACCCCCGCTCTGCACAATGATTGCTGGATGGAATTTTAGGTTTGTGCTGTGCTGGAAGCCAAACTGTGTGTTCTTAGCTTGGAGAGGTCTCAGTTCATTCTGATTCATTATAGCCACCCTGCTACTGATACCCTGCGTGTTCAGGACGTTGAGGATAGCTCCCAAAGGGCTGTTGAGTTTGTTGGCTGGAAAGCCAAGAAGTCTTCCAAGGTTAACTGTGCGATATTCCTTGAGTCTATTCTGAACTGCATGGAATTTACAAGCACTTCATGCTTTTTTTTCCTCCTATCTGTCATGTTGCTTTGGACTGAATTTACCATTTTCATTTTGTGAACGAGATTTGGAGGAATTAGTGAAGCTTGTGAGTTTGACAGCTGTAGTTGTAAGGATGCTGCTGGCACTATGGGCATGACAGCGATGCTGGAAATGAAACTGGCAGAAGCTTGCTGTGTGCTGTGCAAATGTCACTCACAGCTCCTCCAGCTCTTGGCTGCTGGTACTCCAAGAAGGCTGCCTGGCAGGTGGCATAGGGTAGTGCCTGCAACAGAGTGTCCTTGGCCAAGTGCTGTCTCCTTCCAGTGGAGTCCATGCTGCAGGGCTGTGTGCCTTGGGTTTGGCATTACCTTGGGTAGGCCTGCAATGAGGCCTCCTCAGGTCCATTTTGAATTCAGGCAGTGCAGGTGCCAGAAGTCCTGGCAGCCTTTTTACTACCTTTGATGGCTTTGCTTTTCTCTGCTGCTGTGGGCTTTGCCTCTGTGATCTGATTTTGACTTTTGGTGCTGAGAAGTGGAGGTGCTGTTGCACTGCCACAGCTGCTGCTGAATGTCACCGGGTGGGACTGTTGGATCACCTTGACAGGGGAGGTTATCAGTGTACAAATGCCATATTTCTTCTTCTCTGAACCCTCTTCACAACCATCACTGCTTCTTCTAAGGACAACCCTCTTCCTATGCCTGTTAGGTGGATGTGCATTGGAGTGACTCAACAGCATGACAGGCCTTGCTGAGTCCTTTAGACAGACTGCTGTGCGGTACGAAGCATGACAGGGAACATTTGCCTGGCTTGGTGTGTGGGAGATGCATCCTTGTACCAGGGGAGAGGATGAACTGCAGAAGGAAGGCATTGGGATTGCCTTCCTGAAGTGCCAGGGAGATGATGCTCAGCATGGAGAAGTGCTTGGGCAGAAGATCTTCAGCGTACACTTCAGACAGAGAAGATGGAAGGTTTTAAAATTTGCTTGAAATAATAATAATAAAAGTTAGAGAAGAAAATTTGGTGAAACAGATGAATGTTCTCATTGAATTCTGTGTGTATATTTGTGTTAGATTTATATTTCTTGGGCATGGGGAGGATTTTGCACTGCTTTAAATAAATCTGGCTTTAAATCCACTTACTTAAACTCCGAGTACAACTTGTATGTGAAGACCAGGCTGAAATCTCATTAAATTTAATAGGATTAAACATGTTCCTTAGCTCAGTCGTCTTCTCTATCTTTCTTTTGTATTAAATAGCAGGATAAACCTCTGTGCTCTACCATATCTTTGGGAAAATGCTTTGACAGTCTCAGGGGAGTGGTTGCATACAATCATATTTTACACTTTTTTTTTTTCCCATGCTTTCAGCTGTAGTCATTTGTATGCTGGCTTTTACTGGCTTTTGCTTCTTTTAAAGGCCTGAGAACTCTTGACAGCAAGTCCTGGTTACAAATGATTGTGTGATTTCTACCCTCAGTATGGTTTCTACAGTGAAACAAGTCCATTAGATGGGGAACTCTGGCCAGTTCCTCTTACAGCTATTGGCAGACTGTTCAGTCTTCCAGTGCCTCCTGCTCCACCCCATGAGATAAGGGATGACCAATCCATCCTGGCTCTGCTTTTCTGAACTGATGCAGTGTTGGCTGTAGGCTGACCTGTATTACAAAGATGACCTTTCTGTACATGTACGTGCTGTGTGTGTGGAAACCTTTTATGTTATCTGCTTCTCTTTTTGCTGGCTTAGTTACACATTCCCTCTCTGGGGAGGAGGGGGGTATCTGGACTTAGGTTCCTATATCTACTGAAAATGGAGAGCCTGTTGGAAAATGCCACAGAAGATCTCTCTAATTTTTCACCCAATGACAAACAGGAGGTGGACTTACTTAGCAAGTAGAGGATGAGGCTTTCTAATGGTTGAGAAATGTCCAATGATAAGTTAAAATTCCCCACATTGGAGCAAAGAGCATCCCTAGTTATTTCCCTAGTTATCTACTGTCTTCTGATTTTTGGCCTAATTGCTAACTTAATAAACAGAAAGTGTTGCTGTAAACATTTTTATGCTTTTCTCAGTGGTGCTGATTCAGAACTTTTCTTTCCTCAGTTTTCTCTTAGGTTATCATGTCCTTTTGTTTCTGAACAGAGTCTCAGCTGATCTGGAAAAAATGATATTGTCTCTAGGATTGTTCAGTAACTTCTCTGAATCTTTATCTGAGTTTTTGTCACTCTTTGACCTGAAGAAGCTTAATAACGGAGCAGTGTGCCTTCCTGTCCTCTCTCCTTTGGAACATCTTAAATTTTTTTAGTTCCCATGTAATGAATAGCTTAGGAGATTTCTCGGATATCAAAGACAATTTCCTGTTACAAAAGCTGTGCTAACTCTTCCTGAAGCCTTGAAGCCAGATGTAATTATTTTGGGTGTTGATTTTCATCCCTGCAGAGAGTCGCCTACAATTTGTATTTGCATAGATATGGCAAGACCTCTGTATTGTGGCTGTGGTGACCATCTCTGAGATTCCAGACTGTTGGAGCAGGCATGTGCTGTGGTTGAAATCATGCTTTTGTCAACGTCTGGTGTATATGTGTCTCAGGTGAGCTTATTTTGGGCAGTGAACCCAGTATGTGAACTTGTCTAGAATGGTTTATGATGAGTTGTTAGGATGGTGCCATGTTGATCCATACCCTTGGGCAACTTTGTCAGCCAGCAAGGATCTATGTGGACTGGTGGTGCCCACTGTGTTGAAATGCAAGCAGCTTCATCTCTGATGAAGGAGAAAATGTTGACTTTTTTGTTGAGTTTTGGTTAAAGGAATATCGATATGGAAGTGCAATATCATCAGCCTGCCAGCAGTTGTGTGACTTCATTTTGTGTAGGTCACAAGTTCCATTGGTTCTGCTAGACTTACTCTCTCATGCATGAAGTTATTTATTTAACTTTGTATGTTTGAAGAACTTGTGCTGAAGGCAGGTAGCTGGCATGGAAACACCTGATAACTTTCTTTAGGGTCACTTGCTGCTTGAATTTTAAAGAAGCACATAGCCTGCATGGATCTGTAACACAGATGGCTTTGCTGCCAGATGGAAGTAGGGTTGCACGGTACTGAGTTAATTTCTATTTTAGAGAGCAGCTTTTGACTGGATTGGGTGTATTTGTAGATTCCCACTCGTTCTTCTGTCTGTTCTGAAGGGAGTTTATTGAACTCAGAAATCTCATTATATCCGGAAGTTGGATTTGTGTTTCTGTGGATGCTGCTTTGAAAAACTGCCCTTGAAAATGGTAAGTACTGTCAGTGGTAGTAGAAGACCCTTGTGTACAATACTTGTTAAATATATACCATGTTGCACCCAAAGCATTCATGCTTACAGCTGCTCCTGAGCAGGATGCAATGGAGTCTATTCAGTGAACATTCAACTGTAACAGAAGTGTATTTCCTGTATTGATTACCCATCTTCATAAGGGATATTCTGAATGAGAGTTTTGGAATAAAATGGAAATAGAAAGTGCTAATGGGATGGGGGCTGTTCTTTCTCTGCCTTGCTGCTGTAGGTCTTGGTGCTATTAACACGTTGTTCCTTCTGCTTTGTATGTTCTACACTTGGTCTTTGACCCCTCTGAAAACTGGAAGCAGATGTAATGCAAAGTAGAGTGGGCAAATGGTCCCCTGGGGGTTGACTGGGAACTGAAAACCATTCTGTTAAATGAGCTTTTAGTTTATTACATGTCTTGGAATAAATCCATTGATTTGCAGAAATGTACTGTTATTAAAGGTTCCTTCCAGCTTTAAAGTACCTGCTCCACAGTTGTGATCCATTAGGTATATCCCCCAGTACACTCAAGCATTCACGTTTACAGTTGCTACCACTGAACATATCCAATGAACACAGGGCTGATGCTGGATTTCCTATAGCAGTGATTCATCTTCATGACTGGATGTAAAAGAGAATTTGCAAATACAATTCATGCACAAAGTTGTTTACTGTGTTTATGTATTTCCTTACGTATATTGCCACTCTAATAACAAGATAAAGGTGCTGAATGAGCAAAGATGTTAGAACTAAGTGTAAACAGTAAAGTGGAGCATGTCCTGTCTATTCTACATTCAAATAAAATGCACCTTCTTCTGGTACCATGAGAGGTTTAGTAGGACTTCATCCTTGGTAGGTTGGGTCCTGCTGTGTAAATCTAAAGGCAGATTTCTGTGAAAGGTCAAAGTGCATCTTTTAAAGAAGTGCTTCAGCATTCAGTCTACCTGTCTGCAGTGAGTAGATTGACCTAGGTCTACATGCTGGCCTCAGGGCTGGGTTTTGTTTGTAAAAATACAATTACAGAAGTTTTACCATTAGCTGCATCTTACTGAATCAAGGAAACATGAGTTGGTGCCAGCTCACCTTATGTATCTGTTCCTCAGCTAGTGCAGCTCTCTGATGCAACTCACTGCTGTGTTGTGCATGACTGAACAATCCGTAATGGGAGCAAGAGCTGCCAAGAGGGCAAGGGGTAGATTTGTGAGCAGAGGTCATGAGAACCATTTGGTGAGACTTCCCAGCCCGTGAGTTGAACTTGTCTGATGTGTAGTTCTGAGGCTCTTACACTTGCTTTGAGAAGGAGAAGCATTGTTCCTCAATGTTGACTGCCTATATCCTCACTCATCAATATTTATAGCCTCTTCTCATTCCAGGTTTGCAGATACTCCTACAGCAAACTGATTTCGGAGCAAAGGCAGCATTTAGAAGGCAGGAGGTACACGTTAATTCAAATGCAAATTATTTAATTCTTAGCATGCCACTTGCTATATGTTTGATTTCATTCAGTTGCAGCCTGTTCCACTTGTTGATTCTTGGCTTATAATGGCCTTAGGCCATTACAGATGGAATTAGACAGGTTCATATTTGATTAGGCTGGAGCTGAATTCTTCTGAACACCGTTCAGCATATTGACAAGAGTGACAGGAGATCCTACTTGATCTAGCAGCATGTATCTCTGTTTATTGCAGGGGAGACTGACTAGATGAGCTTTAAAGGTCCCTTCCAACTCAGATGATTCTACATGTAGTGTGACTTTCACAGGTTTGTCCTTATTTCTGTTTTTGTTGTCCATGTTTGGGCAGCCTATGCCTGACAGTCTCTTGGCTCAGATAATTAGTGCATGCTGACCTGAGTCAGGGCTGTTCTTGTTACTCTTTTGGTATTTCTAGTCCAGTGTTCCCCTTGTTACAGAATACCTTTGGCATAAAAATCAATGGCTAAGACTTTTTAAGGGGTTCAGTCTGTCAGCTGCTTTTCACAGTTCACAACATCTGGAAGAGTGGGACTAAGTGCCTACTGTAGCTTCCAGTCCAGGTGTTATAAGTTGAGAGAGGACTTATAACTCAGAGATTTCAGTTTTGGAAAGACAAACACATGAAAGGATGAGTAGCCTTGTGTATAATCAATAAATATAAAGATGTTATAATTTTGAAATAAATCAGAGAGTTTAGCTAAGCAAATTATAATAACAAGAAGAGAATAGATAGAAAGCTTACCCATGTCCTGGAGTCACTGCAAAACTGAGGGATCTCCAGAAGAGATCCTTCCTTACTGGTAGCCAGCTCTTAAATGGGTCTAGGAGCGGTGCAGCCAGGCTCACCCCTTCCAGCAGCACAGCTGAATTGCCTTCACCTGTGCTCCCGAGGCTGACTCGGTGCTCGCCTCAGGTGATCAATCAGAGGTTCAGGCTGTGATTCAGCAGTTCCCATGCACCCTGAAAAGGATGTTGGCAAAACTTGGAAATGAAGGTGGTGTCTTATTTGATCAAATAACATAGATGGGAAGATAACGCAGATAAAGTTTCAGAAATGAAACCTTTATTTTCTGTTGCTGTACTGCTGGGTAAAAATTGAGACTGTGGTAAGCATAGAAGCATCTGAGGGTGCTGTAAAAAAATTCTGTATTTGAACCCTGTATGGAACGTGAAAGACAAGTTACAGGAATAATGCAACTTTTCACCTCTGTGCCTTTGGTACAAAGTCAAAGTGATATTTGCAGTAGTTGTTAACCTCTGCTGGTTAGCTGTGCTGCCTTGGCAGCCACAGAAATCACTGAGAGTAAGGAGAGGGAAGGATGTTTTCTTGTATGTGCTAATGGTTTAAGTTTAGCTTGGTATATGGCTTACAGAAATCTGTGAGGGACCTACCATAGAAATGCCAGCAAGGGCTAGGAGAGCTGCTACTGTGTTTGATTCTCCTTTTGTTTAGAAAAATAGACTTTGCTAATCTTCCCCCCCCACCACGCATGGTGATTTCCATGTCCTTCAAGTTATCAAAATCACAAAGCGTGGAGGTGTGTGGCCAGCAACCTTCATTTGTAATTGCTGTAAATGTCTCCCTGGCTTGGAGATTTTGGACATAATCTTTTGATTTGTGCAAACGTACATATGGTGAAAATATCTTGGGAGTTTATTGGCCTGTGATAAGCTGGAATGTCTTCTTGCTGCATCTCACCTGGCAGTTCTTCTCTATAAAGCAACCTTTGTTTTTTAACAAGATTAAACAGGGAAGAATAAAAAAGACTCCTAGATTATAGGAGTTTTTTTTGGTTGATTTGCTTTTGATGATGACCTACAGTGGAGGCAGATCGCTTTTGATTCAATTTTCTGCATTTCAGGGATTTGCACAAAGATCCTCCATCCTTAGAGAAAAGAGAGATCCAGCATCGCTCTCCTTAGTCCCATCTTTCAGGGCTGAGCAAAAAGATCCTAATGCAATGACTGCATGGGAAAGGAGAACTTTCTTCTCTGTTCCTCAGCTCTCCATGGTGTTGCCTTATGCTTTTGTAGTGTAGGGTACCGTCATGTCTTTGCATAGCCCTGCTCAAAGTCATGCACAGGCTTAACCTGCAGAACCTTGTTTTTGGACAAAGCTTTTCTGTTTAAGTGGTAGCCTACTGGGGTGGTTTCTCTGGGGGTAACTGCTGAAAGCTGTTTAATTAGAAGCATGTGTCATCAAATGCTCCTGTTCCTGTGAGACAACAGTGAACCTGAACATTTGGTATCTTCTTTGGGTATGGGTCAGAACAGGCAAGGTTGCATTTCTGCTGTACTGCACATTTTCATTGCTTGGAAGAATTTGTGTTGACAGATTTATTGTCTGTTCCCAGCTTTATACAGTTACCCTTTGGCAGTTCATCTCTCTTCATATGAAAATGGAATTGTTTCACATATTCTGAGAAACAAGCTGCATTTTCACAAATGAAACAGCTGTCCAGTCATTTTTCACAGGAGAAGCCCGGTTGAGTAGTAGTTCTCACCATGTTAAGTACAGAACGTGGGGGTGAACATGGGTGAGGAAGGACAGTGGGTGGTGCTGGGAGGGCTTCTTGTGTTTTAGACTTTGACATTTGTTTTTGTTGGAGGCAAGGCTTGATGTGTGATAGGCATGAAGCCTCAGTGCATTGCACTGTCCTCATTAATTAAGAACTGTGCAAACTGCCTTATGCTCAGTGATGGAAATGGTGAGGGCAGGTGGGAGCCGAGATGCTCTGTGACATGGGACGTGGATAAAGCTGATAGACATTCAAAACAAAACCAACTGAAACAAAGCCAACCGCAAAAACC